AGAGCCTCCACTCTGTGGAGTTCCCTGCTCCTCATTTATCTCCCCCAACAATCAGCTTCCTCTCTACTGACTTGGCTCATTTTCCAGAAGATGCGGGGATGATGGATTCCTCGAGACAGCCCAGGTTTTCTGATTCTGGCCCAGGGTTTCGGACAGCAGAGGCAGGCTCCCTCCCCGGTCTGTGCATTAGGCCAGAGCCCAAGAGTTGGTTTGCCCAGATGTCTTTCAAACTCAATGACTCAGGGTACCCAAAATGGGTCACAAAATAAGGAGCTCCAAGGAAATCTGTCTTGGAGCAAAGATGATGCAAATTTTATTTGAGAATTGGATGATGAAATACTTTTAATACAAGCACATTGTGATTGGTGGCCCAACATGTTCATTCAAGTGAATCCCAAGAAACTTCGCAAAACAGGGTGAGAATTTGGGCCCAAACTCAGAAGAGATTTGGTGGGACCAGGGTGAAATAACGATGCTGGAAAAACTTACCTGTCCACATGCAGGAGGTGGGACACCAGGCTCCTCAGGGGCACATGAGACACAGCCTAAGACTTTAGGTGGCTGTCAGGTTGATGTAGCTCAGCAAGGGCTGAGAGAAATAGCACTTTTAAAACCTAGGTTTGATTAATAGAAGCACAGCGAGCAGAAAAATGGAGGGGAGAGAGCTCCTGCAGTCTGGATGAGCTCACACCTGTGGAGTAGGTGTAGTTCTAGGAAAGAGGGTGCCCATTGAGGTGGCCGGGAACTTAGAGGTCCACAGGTTAGAGGAAAGGGCAGTGTCCAGCTCAGAGAAGAAGCTACTCCCAAGAACAGCACTTCCACTGCCCGGTCTATCAAGGGCTGTTCTGGGGAGTTGGGTTTCCGTGAGCTGTCCTGGAGAGCAGGCAGCCTTCCGCTCGAGCCGCTGGAGCCCCAGGTCACAACGAGCTGTCTGGGCTGAGAGTCCTGCTGCCGGCGGGGCTCTCCCACACTTTGTTTAACTGGAGCCTGGGGAGCCCGTGCCCGACAGGGGTACGGCTAAGGAGGTCTTGTCTGTCAGGCAGCTGGTGGCACCCTGTGGGTCCTGAGACGGCTCCCTGTCTAAGGGAGTCTTTACAAGAACAATTTCTCCACCTTGATGAAGAGTAACTCAAAACTGACTGCCACTTGGATTGCTTTGGCTGGGGGAGAGAAAGAACATTCCATGCATGCTTTTAATATTAAGAACCAAGAACAGGAAATATTATGTTCAATAAACATAGTAAGTCATAATAATAAAGATATTTTGGCTGCGTAAGATGCCAGGAAAAGAGAAAAAAAGGAAAAAAGATGAAGAGAAGTTGGGGGGAAACATGGCAGTACAAAAGAGGCAAGCAAGGCAAATAAGTGAAAAAGGAGAAGGCGGAGGAAAGGGTAGAAAAGGATAATTTTTTTCTTTTTTTCTCGTCCACCCTGAAGCGTGATGCACGTCATGGTAGTGCAAGATGGAGGTTTTCTTGTTTCAATTTGGAGTTTACATTTATCAAAGATATGTGTGTGCATTTTCAATAATCTTTTTGAACAATCCAATAATTCCACGAAGCTTTCATAAAGGCAACCTATCACTCATCTCTCATTCCCATCAACTAATTCTATGGGCACCCATAGTCAACCTTTCAGCTGTTACTTTTTATGATTTTTCATTTCTAAATAGCAAAGTTATACTCTATTTCTTGATCCCCCCCCTTTTATGCATATCCCACCCCTACGATGGGGTGTTACCATTATTTTACGTCCTACCCGCACACATTTCTTTTCCCATCCTCCCAGTGCAGCATGCCATACAAATGCTACTCACAGATCAGCCATAGAATGTATTTTTTCTACAACATTCTGTTTGCTTTGGAGTTCATAGTTCTCTTATGTTACCATTTGTGTAGTCTTCTATTTCTTTATCACTAGTTCTTTTCCAACACCCCCTAATGCCCCACACCATTTGGACCATTCTCCTCCAGTTATATTCAGACATGTTAGGTATGCTACTGATTTATATTTCTGTAGTTACCTCCCCTAAACTTTCTGCTTTGCCTCATATTGGACCAATTGCTCTCTACACTTAGTTTCTGGCCATTATCCCCAGATTTTTCTTTACCGTTATCCTAGAACTTCTCTATGATTTTATCTAGGCTTGGAGCCTCTGTGTTTTTATTGTCTTCCCTTACTCGTTCTTAATTTACTTCCTTGTTTTGGTGGAGGACATTTATCATGAAACACTTTTTTTTTTTTAAAAAAGATTTATTTATTTATTTATACAAGAACCTGGGTACAACCCAGATATGCAGGAGGTTGAGAGGATCCAACAGAGACAGAGCGGGGAGCAGAGCAGGCAGAAGGACTGAAGTACAGTGCTGAGGGGAGCAGTGGGAGCGGCAGGAGAGGTCTGCGCGCCATGTGGGACCCTTGCTGGTGGCTGGGGATCGAACTGGCGCTGCAGAGGCTGCGGGCAGCTTCGGGGCGCGGCGCTTAAGTGCCTGCGCCACCAGGGGAGGATATCATGACACACTTTTATGGGGACCTTGAAGATATGAAAATATCTATACCTTTATCCTCATCCTTGATGGATAGTTTGTCTGGCCATAAAATTCTAGGAGGCACTTACCATCTCATTAGTCTCAGTAGGTTGTAACAATGTACTGTATGTTCTTTATTTCCCACAAACTTGAAAGTTTGTAAACAGTTGAATATACAAAAACACATTCTTCTTGTAAAAAATCAAACCATAGAGAAGAGCACAGGGTAAAAAGTCCCTCCTTTCCACATTCTCTTCTCCCTCACTTCCTTCCTTCCTCCCATGATCACTACTGTGTGTTTGATGTATTTATTTCTAGGCATTTTCCTCATTTACCTATGTATTTGTAGAATTGTAGAAATATACAATTTTGGGGGTTTTTGTCTTAGTTTGCCCATGTGATCACATATTGGGATGTCATCCCATGTGATAACATACTGACAAACTGGATATGTTATTCTGTAACTTTTTTTTTTCACTCTACAGTATATCTTAGGTCTATTTTCAGGCCAGCACATGAGCCGTGAAACCATGCCTTATCATTCTTTTTAACACGTGCATAGTATTTTGTAGTAGGGATGTGAACAAACATAGCTCATCCTGTAAGCTAAGCATGTCAACCAGCAGGTCAGCCGCTGCTCAGCCTCGAGGCTGAGGAGGTCGACCAGCACGCCGGCCCCAACTCAGACTGGAATGAGGGAGTCGACCAGCAGTCCGGCCACAGCTCAGCTGTGAGCTCAGTGTCAATGGACAGTCTGGCCCAAGCTCAGGCTAAGAGCTCTGGGTAGACCGATGGTCCATCCCCAGCTCAGCCTGGTGGCTGAGGGGGTCACCTGGGAGTCCAGCCCCAGCTCAGCCTGGAGGCCAATGGTGATGAACGGCAGTCCTGCCCCTGCTGAGGCTGGAGGCTGAGGGCATCGACTTCGAGTCTGGCCCAAGCTCAAGGAGGAAGCTGACGGTGTCAACCAGTAGTCTGGCCCCAACTCAGGCTGGAGGCTGAGTGGGTCGACCATCAGTACTGCCAAGGGTCTGCCTGGAAGCTGAGGGAGTCTCCAGGAAGTCCACCACCAGGTCAGACGTGAGGATGAGGGTCGACCAGGAGTCTGGCCATAGCTTGGCCGGGAGGCTGAGGAAGTTGACAGAAATTCTGGCTCAGCTCAGCCTAGTGGCTGAGGGAATCGAAAAGCAGAATTTTTTTTTGTCTTGTGAGTCTGTCACCTCAAGGAAAACAAGTGACATTATTTGTTGCCAATGATAATTAGCTTTTAGGGGGAAAATTGGAACTCTGTAGGACCATCAGCTTAAGACTTCAAGACTTCTCTGATGAACTTGGTGGAGATATTACTTATATGCACTTGTGGTAAAATATAAAGGAATGTGTCAATATCCGGGAGACCTGCTGAACTCACTGAACAAATATTTTCAAAATGATTAGTGCATCAAGCCTTAAAACCAAATATTGGTATGCCATCTGTCCCCGACTGGAGGAGAAAATGTATTTTAATTCAAGAGGGTATGAAAAAGTTCACCGATCCCACAAATGCAGACTGCAACTAACCTTGAAGAAAATGCCATTTGTGAAGATTGTACTAGCAGAGAGTAATCTCCAGAAATTATCTGCAATGGCTGTTGGCTGTAAGCGCTGTGTTCTAACTTTCCTATCTGTGTGAGACTGACTTTCCTTCCTACCTATTAACCAAATCTCTATGGCCGCAGATTGACTCAGAAACAGATAAAAGAATCCAGCTGTCTTCTACTAGGCCAGAGAATAAAGAGATTTGCAAGAGTGTAAAGTAACATCACTCTTCTCAATCAAATTTTTTGGAAGATATTTCTTTTTAATAAAAATACATTATTTATGTTCACATGTAATGTGCTTTTTTACTTTGAATGAATTAGTAGATATTTTTAAATGGTCTCAGCTTTCATTTTGAATACAGTAAGTGCCAATAGATGTAAAACCCCCATAAGCAATATCTCTTTAGGTTCTCAATTACTTTGAAGAGTGTAGGATCCTGAGATTGAAGAGTTTGAGAAAAGTATACCCTTCAATGACCTCCTGAAAAGGAATAACGCCAAGCCTTTCTCCTGGCTCTCATGCCCGTATTGTCTCCACGACGCAAGGCTACCTCCCTTCCCATAAGTCTCATTAACAGTAGGAAATACAATTGTCCCTACAACTTGATTTTGCAATGGTCCCCCTCTTTCCCATAACATCTTTGGGAATAATTTAGATAATTGTCTTTGGTGTAGCAGCATTTTCTTGTCCTCAAAGCTCTAGAAATCCATTTGGGATTCCAGATGACTCGCTTTGGCAACAGAATAAAAAAATAAAAACCACGTGCTCAGCAATCAGATTATGCCAGACGGAACAAGAGATTGAATTTTATAAACTCTTAAGCCCATCCAGTTGGGAGATGTTCTTTATTAGATTTTTTTTATAACAGAAGTCATTCTGATTCTTTGGCTCCAGGCTTGTTTTTCATCCGCTCGAGGTTAAGCTCCAAGAATTAAGTTGCTGTTTGTGGGGGGAAGGCTTGCTGGGGGACATTCTCATAAGGAAGTCTTGCATGCCTCTCCGCAGTGCGGCGTTCTCTGCGACCTCCCTCAGGCTCCGGTGGAGCTTGTCCATCTCCTTGTATTCGCTTTTGACGTCTACAGGACAGTGGAAAAAAATGTAGCAGCAGTTAGTATCCTTTTCAGAAGTGCCCCTGGGAAACAGATCCCTGAGAAGCCAGCAGTGACCTGGGTCACTTGTTCCAGCATGTGAGCTGCGGTGGCACCGAGAGCTCAGAATCCAACCTTGTGCTTTTATAAACCACCCGATCTAATTGGTTTTATCTCAACATATGAGTCGCTCTCTCAAGAAACACATGCCTCCCCATGAAAAGGTCTGGAAGTCTCTGGTTCTCACAAAGGGTCTCCAAGAGGAATCAGAGCGCAACACACACGAACCCTTCCTAAGTCTTCGCCCTCCCCCAGCCCTCTCCTCCCAGCAGCCCCCATCGAGGTGCCTTTGCTCTGTTTTGGCATCTCAGGCTTTTTATCCCATGCTCTGCAATTAAATTGTATCCTGTGAAAGTTATTTTTATATGTCAGGTTTTTGGGGCCATAGGGCCCCAATATTTGATCAAAATTATCTTGGATGTTTCTGTGCCTATATGTGGATGGGATTTACATTTACATCAGTGGACCTTGAGTAAAGCAGATTATCCTTCACAATGTGGTGGGCCTTGTCCAATCAGGTGAAGACCCGAATAGAAGAGAAGGCCCATCCATGGGAAGACCTCGATGAAGGTCATGAGCAAGTCTAATAGACTGTAGCTATTTGAATTTCTGATCGTAACCAGGCTGCTCTGAACAACCTCATCCATGTGCCATCCTGCCCACATATGACAATAGCATGGCAGAAATACCAGAAGGACCACTGGAGACAGCAGGGTAGAGTGTGGATTTGAATTTGCTGCTTTCCAGTTCTGGGGACATTATCTGAGCACATTTCTGCAATAACAAAATGGCACAATGGCGTCCAGCTCGCAGGACCGAAGGCAGGTGTGGCGGAGGGGACCGCAGAGCCCAGCCTCAGGTAGGCCGGCGCTCAGCACAGGGCGTCTCAGTCCTCTCCAGTCCTGCCCTGGAAATTCTCCCTGACTTAATGTCTCTAGGTCCAGTCAAGAGCAACCACAGCGAGGGGTGTCGCATTACCTGCCAGCTCCTTGTAGAGACCATCCCCCTGGGACGCAGCGAGGGTCAGCATGGTAGCGACGCTGCCCTTCACCCGCTCCGTGATCCCATTCTGTGCAACAAGGGACAGTCATGCTGTTAGGAGGACCTGGACCCAGGACAAGTGCTTATGGAAGACAGCCCACCCCACCCCAGCCAGGGAGGGCACACACGGGCCGCCAAGATCAAAGCCACGTCCAAGGCATGAGACAGATGCCCACAAGCCACCAGGTCAGCATCCCTGATTTCCCCCACCTGTCTCTTCCCGCTTCCTGCCTTGCAAGGCTCATGGGGGTTGGGCCCTGGTACTGAATCAGGGGCTTATGCGGAGGCATGGAGGCAGGGGGCAGGGGGCAGCCAATGCAGCAACAAGAGGAAACGTGCCACTGACTGTTCCACTGTTCTGTCCCACACAGGACACATGTTCAGGGGGCACCTGTGCATGCAGCACACACCTGACATACCTGTCAGGAACCGCACCTGACATGCTTCTTCCCAGCTGGCTGAGAAATGTCTTCCAGCTACTCCCAGTCCTTCTATAACTACAACCACTGTCCCTCTCCTAAGGTGTCTCATCTCTCTTGGAAAAAATATCTGAGTCTTTCCTCTTGCCAGACAGAGCCTAGTTTTGAACATGACTTTCTGACTCAAAGACTTCAGCTTCGTCTTCAACACAAGAGCCATAAGCACTAGTCACCCGGACCTTCAGGGTTCTGAGTCCCTGTAGGACCAGGGTATGGGCACTGTGGTCTTGCCAGTTTCACCCACTCATTGACGGTCCAGCCGGACGCGGTCAAAGCACTCATCCTTGTTGGTGGAATTGCTTTCTTAGGCAACTTAGGGCCAATTTCCATATGTCCAGTGGGAACTGGGTCCTGTAGCGTTTGGCTGATTTTCTGCCTGTATTTGTAGACAGAAACCAAACTGTTCCCAGCAAATGAGGCACCTCGTAGCCAATTCCAAGAGACACCGGCTTCACAATGTGGAGAAAGCCGTTTGCAGGGGAGGGAGTGAGGGGCGGGGAGAAGAAGCAGGTGGAGGGTTTCAGGAATGGTTGGTTCAGAGGTGGCATGAAGTGGCAACTTGCCAGTCTCCGCAGCAGGTTGGAAGAGGATCAGAAGGGCCAGGATGGAGGTAGAAGAATCTGGAAACTCACACGGCCAGGGAGGGCCCACAGTGGTTTGCACTATGACAAAGGATTGATATGACCAGGGGAGGGGGTCAGGCCAAGAGCTGAGACACAACAGTTTGAGGGAACTTAGGAACTGTCTTCAGAGATAGACAGGTCAAGCCCGAGCCTCTGCAAGGCGCCAGACAGAGTTCTGCAAATTGACTGGCATCTCCTTACTGATGTAGACATTTCACTCACTAAAAAATCTGTGTTGAGATTACACTGTTGTTGGGGACACGGAAGCCAGGTTCCCTGACCCCAAATCCTAGCTCTGCCACTGACTAGTTGGGGGACCTGGGAACACAGCCCCCACTCTCTGCCTGTGTTTTCTTACCCATGAGAGAACAGAGATGGGACCCGCCTCACAGACTGGCTGGGGTTTAACGAGTTAAGGAATGTGCAGGCCTGAGGACCGCATCCTGACGCCCCCGTGTTCTACCGATGACTTGTGAAAAGGGAAAGAAACAGGAGGGGCTGGTGGATTCCATTTCTGCTGTCACAACCGGAGGGGAGCCCGACACCGGCCGGGGTATAGAGGAAGAATTTTGGGTGCCCACTGGGCCCCTCCCACCCTTGTGGGCACTGGGGGTCCCACCTGGCAGAAGGCATCAGCCTGTGTGAGCCCAAATGACTCCTGCTAACTCCCGTCTGCACCCACTTCCTCCACGCCCCCGGGAGCCCCCGCGGGACTGGCGGCCAGAGAGTGGGTGTCGATACCTTGAGCTGCAGGAACTGGTGCTGCATCCTCTCCTGGGCCCTCTCGAACATGCCCTCGGCCACCTGCCGGTCCACCCCACGTCTGAGGACGGCCTTCATCCGCTCACAGGCTTTTTTGCCAGTGATCTGAGCTGCCTCTGGCAGAAATGACAGCAGTCACACCACAGCAAGGACAGCTGAGAAGCCCTTAGCATCAGGACGAGACACATATTTATACATATAAATGTCTCTAGCTAGACTGTAGCTCACACGGGCACACGACATTGTCTCTAATATAGAGACATGATGCCGCGATGCGTGATGCCGTACCTGCGACTATGGTATTGCAGGGTAAGGTAAAAATATCCGGCTTTTCTGCCCTCCCGCCATTAGGATAGATGAGGGAACCCTGCGGTCCTGAACGCATGCCTGATGGCGGCACCTGGAGTAGGGGGTGGGCCTAGGTAGATGGGATTCACCTGGGCTGAGACTGGGCTCTTAAGGGTGGCGTCACGGGGACGCCAGCAGAAGCCGGGAGAAGAAGCAGAGAAGCCGAGAGCAGAGAAGCCGAGAGAAGGCCGGAGAGCCCAGAAAGAGTGAAGACTTTCTGGGGCCTTGGAGGCCTGGCAGCCTCCCGGCCCCCCAGTGCCCCGGCCTGCCTTGTACCTGGTGAATCCCAATAAAAGCCTGAAAAGCCACTGAGGACTCCAGGACGCCTTCTTTACCCGGTCTGCTGGATCAGAAAATCTCCTCAGCGTCCTTCCTGCCTCTACAGGTATGAATGTATAACACACGCATGTGTATAAACACAGGACACACATGTGAGCGGCCACACATCGGGAATGACAGGGACACGTTCTGAGAACACGTAGCCGGGCCATGTTGCCGTGGTGGGACCGTCTGGAGACGCAAAGGCACAAAGCCACATGCCAGGGTCCAGTAGAGAGGCCACCATTGTGCGCACGGCCTGTCGCTGCCTGGATGCCGCTTTGTGGCACTGACTGTATACACGGACACGTATGCCTGCTCAGGTCAGCATGGGTGCCAGTAGGCACAGACGCGCTCATTTCTGTAAACACACTATGTAACACCATTTTCCACAAGAGTGGAAAATTCAATAAAATGAGACAAAAATATATTCTCAATATCTAGATCCTCGCTATCACTCAGAAAATCCAATGAGTGGATTAAGCAGCTCACACGATTCCAAACCCCCCTCCCCCATAACACTGGGATTGCCCCAAGCAGAAGCAGCTGGAAGGTGAGTTTACAGACCCTGAAGAGCAGGAATGAGTGCTGGTCCGTGAGGTTGAGCCTAATGAGCTGGGCGGCAGCGGGGGGAGAAGCAAGGTGTCCTTGGTTCCCAGGGCAAAGTGTGGATGGAAAGGGCTGGAAAACACACCCCTGCAACTATTTGGCCTTGATATGGAGCAAGAGCGCTCCAGGGCTGGGGACTGCGGAGGACAGGCTCTTGAGGGCAGGAGGGGTGGAAAGGAGGGGCAGGAGCTGGCAGGCAGGGCCCCGGCAAGCAGCACGCCTCCACGCCCACACCTTCGTAACAGGGCTTCAGGTCGTTCTGGACGGAGGTGGCGAGAGACTCGTAGACCCTCCTCTTCCTCCTGAGGATGTGTCCCTCCAGGCCGCCCAGGATGGCGCTTATCTAGAATCCACAGCAACAAAAGGTCCCCATGACCACCCTCCCGGAAGCAGGCAGGGACCCGGGGGCCTCCAATTCCTCATGTCCCACAGGCACGAGCTTGGGGTTAAGCACCTGTAGAACCTGGGCCCCACCAGCCACTCCTGAGATGCTTGTGGGGCAAAGACAGGTGCGTGCAAGGTGCTGGGATCTTCGAGGTGGGGAGAGGCCAGGCTGCCCAGGCTATTTCTGCAGAGCAGCCACGTAATTGGGGCTGGCGCCATGGAGAGACTATCTGTGCCTCCCCCATTCATATTTTGCACTGCTAACCCCTAGGTGATGGGGTGGGGTGCTGTGGGTGGTGACTCTGTCAGGAGGAAGGAGCCCTCGTGAATGGGGCGAGTGCCCTTTGAGAAGACGCCAGCGAGGCCTCCATCCTTCCCGCCTTGTGGCGGGGCTGGGAGACAAGCGGCTGTCAGCCAGGAAGCTGGGCCCGGACACCAAGCCTGCCAGCGCCTGACCCCAGACTTCTCCAGAACTGGAGAAATAAATTTCTGCTTATAAGACACCGGGTGTGTGGTATTTGGTAGCAGCAGCCAGAACCCACTAAGCAAGTCATGAGGACTCAAACTGAAACACGAGCTGCAAGAAAAGTGACTCTAAAGCTTAGCTGCTTTGGATAAAATTTCACAATATTGGCAAACACAGCAGAGAGGTTGGTGAAAACGTTACAAGTAGATTCAAAATTTGTGCATCTAAGAATTCTTTGAAGATGCTTCCTGGGAACCAAGGACAAGCTGAGCACGGACTCTCGGTGCTGGGGGCGGCACCTCTCAGGCCAGATTGTGCCCCCTCCCGCCCCCGTAGGCGGTAGTCCTGGCACCTGCCCTGTGCCATGTCCAGACCCTGGACACTCCAGGGGACAAGCAGGGGGAGACAGGAAACCCCCCTTTCCTGCTGGGGAGACATCCACTCCCCAGACTCACCGCTTTCTTCACTTTGTAAGGATCTTACCTCCTGGATCAGGAAACTTCTTTTGCAGTGATCATATTTCCAGCCATTTCTTATCCCAATTTCCGTCATCTTCTCCTGCAGAGAGTGCTTGAAAGCATCTATGTGAGGCATCAGGGCCAAGCCAGTGGTCTTCCCAGCACTGCAGAAGAAGGCAAAGCCAAAGGTTAAGAGGCGGCAGGGGTCCTGTGGGGCTAGAACAGACCAGCCGGGGTCCTGTGGTCATGTTTAGGGGAATAAGATCCAACATCTCGCAAACTCCTCTGGTGTGCCAGGCCCGTGGCATCAAAGCCTACAGTCAGCTCAATGATGTTCATTTTCCAGAGGAGAGAACTGAGTTCAGAGAGGGTTTCTAAGGCGCCCCATGCCACACAGCAACCCAGTGGCAGAAGCAGCTCTGGATTCTGACCTGTTTAATGGCAAAACAAATAGTCTTTCTGCTGCCCCCAGGTGTTTCCTCTTGAAAGGGTGGGATTTGAACTATACCTTCAAAGGTGGGTGAGCAGCAGGGGAGTGAGGAGAAGTTAGCATCTCCCAAGAGGACACACGTGAGGGGAGCTTCAGGATATCCCAGGAGTGAGGAGCAGCAAGTGCACAGGAGAGGCCGGCACGTCCACCCTGCTGCTGCCCGGACACACTGTGTCCTCCGAATCTCAGGGGGATCTCATGCGGACTAGACAGGGCGTGGGGAGGATGGAGGCAGAGTGGATGGCTCGGCGCCTGCTTTGCTCGGTTGCTCCCTGCTCCCTACCAGGCTGGCGAAGGTTAGGGCTGACTGGGTGACAGTGGGGAGATGGGGACCGCCGGCTGGACGCAGGTCGAGTCTCCCCTATGGACTTGTGATCGGAGTGAGGGTGGGCGTAGGTGGAATGGCATGCTCCCTGATGTAGTTAGAAGATGGTTGCAGGAAGGGGAGAATGATGCCAGCAGTCGCAAGTGGAACCCAGAGGTGCAGGGGACAGGCTGGGGGGACAGGCTGGAGGCAGCTCCACTGATGGGGAAAGGATCTGAGGCCAGGGAAAGGCACACCATGCCCCCCAGCTCATGTCTGCTGTGCGTGCGCAGAGTGCAGTCGTCTTCCCTGGCCCACCGATCCTTCGTGCATTCAAGGGAACTTATGCAGGCTGTGTGTTTGCTTAACTCCACACTCTCCAACCAAAATACCCTGTCCTGGGCTCAGGTCCATGAGAAAAATTTATCCCCAGCTGCATGTATGAGATACTTGAAAAATAACGGGAATCATAATATTAGCCTGAAAGCAACATCTCCATCCACACTCCAGGTCACCATGGGTAATTATTGAGTAAACAAAACCGAAAGGCTTTTGCATCTTGCCAAAGACCAAGCTTCCCTCCTCGAGTTGCAGGCTGCTCTTTGCTCTTCCAGATGCAACATGCAAATGCTCACAGTGAGAGCAGCCCGATGTTCTGCAGATATTTGTTCACAAGGAGCCTCGCGAAAGATCCTTTACCTGAAAATGCCTCCAAAAAGAGGGTCAATTTGGTCATAGATGGGCTGAGTGATGGCTTCGTTCAGATCGATCCTCGCCAGAGTCCGGGAGGCGTAGACGCCATTCTTCAGGCAAACGGCTTTCAGGGTCTGGTGGAAGCCCTGGTTGCCTCTGCTCCGCTGGGTAATGACACCATTGGGTGGCAATCAGGAGGCAGGAACTAGACAGTGCTAGAACCCCACTGCCTTTAGCCAAAGGCTGATACCAAGAGCCTCAGGGAAGGAAGACAGGCCACACGCATCTTTAAAGGTGTGGCTGAGTCTGCTGTGGAAGCCCCCTTCCCTGGATGCTCTGTCATGACAGCTCTGCAGGTAATACAACAAAGGAGCAAAGTAATCCAGCAGACCTCTCCTCCACCGCCTCCTCTCGCACTTTCCAGGCCTTGGAAGCCCCATATAACTAAGTTCATCCACCGTATGTAATAAGTATAACAAGGAGCACCTCAAGTAAGAGGCTGCAAGATGACCCGTTACTGTGTAATCTCACTGATCCTCACACCAGCCCTGCAGGGTGGGCAGGACAAGTGCTGAGCCCCCCCATTTACAGAAGTAAATTTCATCCAACCTAAATGGGCTTAGGGTCTCGTCCAGGGCCGCACAGGGTGTTGGTGGAGCTGCGCCCCACACCATATCCTCAGATCCTAATTTCCAACTCAGTTTTGATTAAGCCACAAGCTCTCTCCTGCTTCCCCCCAACACGCAGCTGACTAACTCCTGCTAGGCACTCTCCCGAGGACAACTTCCGTGCTGTTCTGCTCTCTTACAGCACTTTGCATCCTTCAAAAGCAACAGGGTAGTGAAAAAAGAGCTTGGGATCAGGCAGGCCTCACCAAATCAGGGGTTCTCCCTGCAAAGGGTCACTCACCACCAGGCAGGCCCCGAGGATCCGTCGGTAGGAGGCCCTGGCCAGCCTGACCCCCTCCTGCAGGGGCTGCTGGAGGCGGGAGAAGCACTGGTCCACGGCCTTCTCCAGCTGCTGGATTTCCTCTTCCACGAATCTCCGCAGGCTACTCAGGTGCAAGTGTTCATTCTAGGGACGAGGGCTAGAAGGAGCACGAGGCCATCCCCCCCCAGACACCCCCTCCCCACACTGGGCTTTCTGTACATACAACCCACTGCAGCTTGAGCCAGTCAGCCTCAGGAGATGCCACCTAATGATCCCAGCAATGCATGCTCAGTGCACAGATCTCCTTAGGCTTGGTGGGATTACAAAACAGAACCAACATGCCTCCTGCAAATCACCTGGGGTGTATCAGGCTATTTGGGGGGAGGGTAATTATCCCCCCCAAATCCAATTGTTATTAAGACAGATTTTTCTAATGTCATCCGAATGAACAATGATTTAATGAGCTTTGCACAAAGTGGTTGAGGCCACTTGAGTGGCTTTTCAAACTTTAATGCGCAAACACACCACAGGGAAAGCTTTGCTAGAATCTTTGGGTCTGGGGTTCTGCATTTCTAGCAAGCATCCAGGGGTGCTGATCTTCTGGGTCCTGAACCCTGCTTTGAAGAGCAAAGCTACAGGACACAAAAATGAAGACAGGGTCTCTTCTTCAAAGGAAAAAGTAGTCTAGTCCAGGAGAAAAATATCTTCAAATCCAGATGACCCCTGAATAAAATTTGGGAGTTCGGGGTGCCAACCTAACCACGGTCCAAAACCTTTTTTTAAAAAATCTTCCCCAAAAAGATCAATCGCGCACATTTTTAGGCTTGATTTTTTTCAGAATGCAAAGGCCCTGACAAAATTCTTGCCTTCCAACTTCCTATCAAAGAACTAAGACCAAGACCGATATCCGAGGCCAAGGAATTCGGAGGAATGCTGCTGGCAAGCCCAGCCCAGGGCGCCAAGCAGCCCCCGCCGGTGGTCCCTGGCGCTGAGCCCGCGCTGGGCCTGGCCCGAGCGGCTGCACCTCCGCAGAGACCGGCATGCGGGCAGGCGCTCGAGTTTGATTGCAAAATGCCTTGACCTTGTGTTCATAAAATAAGCCAACCACACACGGCACCACATCTGATTCCTTTTCCATCAGCACTTCCAAAAGCAATCTTTTGCTGGGCAGAGAGGCAACTTTCACCCTGAAGAACTTTTTCGGGAAGTGAGAAGATCAAACCCTTCCCCAGTGTCTCAGAGGACAAAAGTCCAGTTAGAAAAGCTCAGATTCCAGGAGGGTTTTTTCTCCTCTCTCACAGGACAAGACCAAGATGGGGCATAAGAAAAAAATGAAAAAGAATGAACTTTGCTCTATGTCACTTCCACGCAGAATTTCTCAAGGGCGGGTGTTTGACCCTCGCGGTCAGTGCAGACCAGCTGCAGGGCCTGGCTGACCTTCTGCATGGAAGCCGGGTCCCTCCCAGGCCAACCCGAGCTCACGTTCCCAAGTCTGGGGACCCCTGCCACTCTCAGAGCTCGGCTGGCAGCTTTCCTGCCCTTCCCCGTTCTGCGTGTCAGCAACTTCCACGTGCAAATGTGATGGGTGCGAGCAAGTGTGCAAAGAGACACCAAGCCAATGGAGACATGCCAGGGCCATTTACCAGGCTGTCGGAAAAGTCACGATGCGCTTGAAAATACGTCATGACTTTTCCAACAACCCACTATTTCGTGCTCGCGGCAGCAGTGGCGTTGACACTGTGATCTGCAGGGACTCGAAGGCAGGCAGAGGGTGGGGAGGCACTACTGTGGAAACGGGGGTGGCTCTAGAGGAGCCCTAACTGGAGGCCATGCTGAGGGTGGGGCAGGCCGTTGGGGGACTAGCCGGAGCTTCTCACGTCATCATCAGTGCAGGCACTGGGCCTTCCTGGTGGACTCTGAGCTGGGCACGGGGACAGAGGGTGGGGAAGCTGCAGGTTATTAGCTGGGCTCCTGCCACTTGGGGGCCAATCTTTACAGCAGTTGTTGCTGAGCTCCCTGGGTTGTTACTGGAGCCGGTTGTGGGGTGAGGGGGGAGTTGGGGCGCCCCAGGGAGGGAGCTGAGAGTTATGGGTCAGAGTTGGTTTTATACATGTCCTGCCCATCTGCAATGGACTGAACCAACCCTCGCAAAGAAGCAACACAGTAGGTGAATGATTCCAGGAGCAGATTTTTCTCCAAAACTCTCTTAAGCCTCTGCCGGAGCCACTTACCCTCTTATTCTAGGGTAAAAAAAAAACCATCCACCAAAGAGAGAACCTTCTCCATGGCTGTGAGAAAGTCACCGGCTGTGAAAGTCACTGGTCACTCAGAGGCCTGTGCTCTAGACCACGGAGACAAACGTTTAAACTTCGCTGCAAATCGCCCTAGTTTCCTCCCGATCACTCGTCTGAGGTCCTGTGAGGCGGGTTCCTTGGACTGACCACATACACCCGCCTCTGTGGGAGAACCGGGAATCATCTGCCTTCGCCGGCAGCAAACAAATCCCTCCTGTAAACACACCCCGCCGGTTGGTCTCCAGAGGCCCGCCGGCACGGGGACTGCGCTCACATCGTCCTCTGCACCTGTCTGTCCCCATAAAATGTCATTCCTTTCTTTCCAACCCAGGGGTGGCCATCTTAAGCCTCTCTCTTTCTGTCCTCTTTTGCTTCTCTGAGCTTAGTCTCTGCCTTTGATTTGAAACAAAAAAAACATCCCAGTGAATCTGCTAACTTGGTCCAAGGGAAGGCGCGTCATGCCCACCCGCGGGCGGGGTGGCGGAGCCCCGAGGTCAGGAAGCCCGTACCGGCGGGGTGTCCGTGGAGCTGAGGCTGTCTGTGAGGAGCAACAAGCCAAAGGCTTCAGTCACATATGTGGTCACCCTCCTCCTCTTCTTGTCCAAGAGCCTTTTCCTGATGGATTCTCTTAACTTGGGGATTTCTGCAATTCACAGGCAGCACACATGTAAGGGTTCAAAGTCAACAGAAGTGGACAGAGCAGGATGGCAGAGTGAAGCGGCTACACTTAGGGTCCAGCGTGGGGCGGGTGGCTCTCTAGGACAGTCACCCTTGTCTAGGATCAGCGGGACTGAACAGGGGTTCAGGAGGTGAAGACTAATGTACATAGCCGTGGAGCACAGCTTTGTAGTAGCAGAAGTGCCAGCGGACCTTAAGAACTGGCTCTTCCCTTTGCGTTGGGACTCACCTGTGTGGTGCGACCCAAGATGCTCCATGTCTGAGACTCAGCTCTTGGGTCCTCCTAGATCTTTCTATCTACACCAAATAACCCTCCATATCAAAACAATTCAGGCGTGCATCGCAAGGAACCCGGCTGGGATTCCAGATGAGAAACTTCCCTTTGCTCTCACACTTTGTGAATGAGCGGATGACTGACGTCATCCTGCTTTCCCCCCATTACCCCATAAGCGGAAGTGTTTTCTGGACTATGCCTTCACCTGTTTCATGTCGACGGTTCCTTCTGTCCCCACTGAGACAGTCCCCAGCTTGGGAACATTTCACACCTTTACGCCCCCCCATTCACACACACCTAGCGAGAGGCGGCCTTTCAAACCCATTTGCAGCTCAGACCAACGTCACACCGGGACCCCATGCACTCAGCCAGCTTTCAGCCAGGACGACAGTCGCTCAGAGGTCTGGGTGCTCTGAGCTTTGGTCCTGCTGACACATGGTGTGCCCCCGCCGTGTTGGCGCTGTGAGTTTTGCACAGGGCGTGGTGTCTGCTACTTGTCTGGAGTTTAAGTTCTTTGAAGAAAGGGGCTACGTGGTCTCCTTTCCCCTCTGCACAGTGAGCGGACCGTAGCTCCTCTGGCAATGTTCCCAATACCAGAGCCGGGGCGGGGGGCGGGGATGAGGACCCCTAAGCCATATGCGGAGGCAGAGATGACCCCATCTCTGCCTGCCCTTTATGACTGGGGGTAGATTTGGGGGAGAGAGGAACTGTGGTCCCGGGCACCAAACAAGACAGAGAGAAAAACAGATTTGTAGAGCGCTCTAGAGACCGTGGCAAGGAGGCGATGTGGCTCAGAATGTTCTAGAAAGGGGAATTCAGAGTGCCAAGTTCAATCGAGCCCTTCAGTGATGGAGAGAAACACAGACATAAGGTACCTGTTTCCTCCTCGCTGAGGAGAGCCTGCTGCCAGTACTCCTGGGCGCTGACCGTGTACACCAGCGGGGAGGCGTCCAGGACTTTGGCATCGGTGGGCAGTTTTGTCTGCGGTGAGAGAGGCAGACCCTCAACCACGGCCAGGGAGACAGCATGGGCCTCGAGGCCGTGACAAGTTGCTATTATCTGTGAGAGACCCACAGGGCCGAGGTCTGTCCACCCGGGAGCCCTCGGTGCCCGCCTCACCAGGCTAGACGGAGTGAGCAGGACCTTGCTCCTGAGAGTGAAACACACCAGCGCTAGCAGGAAGTGGAAAGAGAAGACAGTTCCAGACTGTGCTCAGAGGCTCAGAGCCAGGGGATACCAGGATCTGGTTTGGGGACAAGAAGCACGTCTGGCGATGATGTGCCAGCCCCTGAGCAGCCTCCTCAGCAAGAGTCCAAGTATTTATACCGTGGCCATCGGCGGCCACTCTCAAGACTTCTTCCATTTAATTAATTTATTTTTTAGCAGAGAGCTGATGGCTAAGCATTTAGCAGCGCCACACAGCATGGTGCTGGCACCGGTGCCATAAAAGTGCCAGTTGCTTAGCCAGCTGGTTAATGAAGAATCACACACTTTAAATGTCGAGTGATGTCTAAGCAAATGGATGGTTTTCAAAGTCAGGAAATTAAGGCTCCTATAGAATGTCTTGATAGTGATCAGGAAAGAGCAGACCTACATAAATAGTGTTGGCAGCTTTCATTCCCCCAATGCAAAGAGAAAGACCACATGGAGTGTGTGTGCGTGTGTGCGTGGTTATGGGGCAGGGAGGAGGAAGGAATAGAGCGTGTCCACCTCTTTCTCACACAGATCCAGAGCTCTGAGCGTCCACTGAGAGGGCTGAGGGGCCACCGCTCCGGCAGATTGAAGCCCGAGCTTTTGAGGCTGGAATTGAGATGCAGGGAGAGGCTCCCCAGGAGCCCCCAAACTCCACACTGCACATCCCAGGTGAAGTTGTAGGAAAAATCTACCAAGGCTTTTTTTCCCCTCCTGATAGAATTTTGACTCTAGGAAAAAGGCTTCCAGAAAGTTTAAACTATTTTCTACCAGGAGATAAAAGTAACATTAAATTAAAATTAAACAGATTTAAAACAGTTCGAGAAATTCTTGGAGGATGTCTGGCTGTGTCTAAGAGTGGGCAACCTTTAAAATCTTGCTCTCAGTTTTGCAGATGTTTGCTAAAAAATATGGAACATTAGTTAGCATTGAAGCTTGTTACCACAGAGGCATTTTTTATAGCGTTGATGAAATGACTACATATCGTTTGCACATCCAGGTTCATATTATTGTGAAAGTGGTAGAACTGTCACAGCTGGAGGGTGGGCTGAGAGGTAAGTAGATGCTCAGCAAATTATCCTGTAGACAGGCTAGTCTCTAGCATACACCCAAGATCCGCCATGACAACACAGGCGGCGACCTCACTACATCGACCAAGGGTCCTTGGAGACCGTGACCGTCATATGAAGTAACAAAACCGGGTTCTCAAATAATGTCGTTTTTGTTGCATATCAGCCAGGGTGTTTTGTTTTTTTTCTTCTCATCAACATTATAACAAACTGATGTAGAATGAGGACCTGTTGTATTCAACTTCTGCCTTGTATTTTCTATGAGTTAAAATTAAATTTGTTCCCAATATTGTCCAGATTTCACAATAACTCATAATCACATGGCTTCTGCCCACGGAGGTGGAGGTGTGCAAACCCCCAAGGCACTGGGCCTTCGCGGTCAGAACAGTCACCCTGCCGCGGCCTTCCCAGGCCCCAGCTCCTACACACGGATCCACCACGTCTATTATCAGTAAGTGTTGCTGTGAATTGTGTATGGAGGTATTTTTTGTTTCGGCTTCCAAAGATATTACAATAAAATGCTTATAAAATGCATGAAACTTCACTGCCAACGGGAATAACTCAAGAGAATAAGAACAGCTTTCTGAGTTATTGCCTCATTAGAAGCAGCTTCGAGAACTAGTTGGGAGAAGAGCTTGGCTCCAGTGTGAAGTCCGATTACACTGAACTAGAAACAAAAGCTTTGAAACTCGGATTCCATGTTGTGCAACAGCCATTTTCTGCATCAACACAACTGAAGTCAAACTACAGAAAGCAGTCGCCTGGAGAGCTGGACACCGGCCGTATTTTTCACTATGCAACCAGCTCTGAAGATTTAGTTTCCACAAAACCACATCATCGATCACATTACTTACTCTGTTATCACTTCTGTTGTTACACCTATGTCTTATCTTAAAATTGCTTTCAAGGTTTTTGATAGATAGGGCTTTTAAAAATTTTTTATGGAAGTGACATTGGTTCATAGCATTATGTAAGTTTCCGGTGAACAGAGTTATAATTTGACACCTGAACCCACTATATCACAATCCCCATCAAAAATGGTTTCCATGGTTTCAGTTTTCGTTGCCTACACTGCAATAGCAAGGAATTTCATGTTAATGCCTAGTTTCCTGACAGAGCAATAAAAATAATTGAAGAAAATACCAAGATTCCCATAGAATGATGACTCAAACTTGAAAATACAGCTGTGCCCTCAACCCCTGCATGCAGGCCCTGCTGAGCTGCCCAGAACCACCATCTGTTCACCAAAGAAGGCGGCCTGTCCCGACCAGCTGGCCTCTCCTCAAGGCCCTCTCTTCTACTTCTTCACCTGCTACAGACTACAGACTTTACAGCTCTGCTCAGGAGACCAAGTTCCCTGACCCTCAACCCCACACTGCTCCCCGGCTGCCAGTGTGACTGGAGGCCCCCTCCTGTGTTCCCACGTGCGCTGCCTTCCTCTGGCCAAGCACACCTTCACCTGTATGGGACTCGCTCCCTTGACCTGGACCGATGTCTCAGGAGACCACACGCTCCTTCAGTCCCACCAACCATCACGGGAAGTACATATTCCGATTACCCTTTTTTTACAGATGAGGAAATGAAGGCTCAGAGAGGTAAGGCACTTGCCTCTGGTCACAAGGTTACTGACCAGTAGAGCTAAGTCTTTATGGTCTCCAAATCTTTGCCCTTGCTTACCACACAGGACCAAACAGACTTTTGTTTCTCAAAAATCTGAGTAACTGAATGACAGAGGAGTGGATTAAGAAGATGTGGTATTTGGGGCCTCCCGGTGATGCAGCAGGTTAAGTGCAGCGCTGTGAAGCTGTCCGCAGCCTCTGCAACGCGGGTTTGTTTCCTGGACAGCCAGGGAGCTGACCCACATGGCGCACAGACCTCTCCTATCTCGTCCGCTGCTCCCCTAACAGTGTATTTTGGTCCTTCTGCCTGTTCTGTTCCCCATTCTGTCTCTGGTGAATCCTCTCACTTTCCCATGCCTCTGGCCTGTACCCCAGTTCTTGTGTATAAAAATAAATAAATCTATATTTAAAAAAGATATGGTATTTATACATGATGGAATACTACTTAGCCATAAAAAAATGAAATGTTGCCATTTGCAACAACATGGAACTGGAGGGGATGATGCTTAGTGAAATGAGTCAGAAGGAGAAAGACAAATACTGGACAGTTTCATTCACGTGTGGAATATAAAGAAACAAAGCAAAGGAACAGATGAAAACAAACCCTTGAAATTTAACTGCAGAACTGAGGCTACCAGGAGGGGTGAGTGGGATAGGGACCAATGGGGGACAGGGCTCAATGAACTAGGGTGGGGAATTTGGGTGGTGGGTGGCAGGTATGGGATGGTAACATAGATTGGAAGAGGTGTGAATCCTTGCCATAGGTCATGCGGTGCTGTAAACCAACGTTACCACAATTTAAAAGGATACAATTAAAAAATAAAAATAAAACCAATCTGAGTGGCTGAAAAACACATGGGGGTCTGTTAACTCACCTTTAGTTTTTCCTTGAGAATTTTACTCTTCTGTAGTTTTATCATTTCATTTCTTTCTAATACAGCCTCTCGCTTTCTTTGAACGGCTTGCTAGATAGTGAAAAAATACAATAAGAGCATGGCAAACGGCTGAGGGCCATCAAGAATGGTGCTAGGAGTCACCACTTCTTCAGTGTGGGCAGCCAAATAGGCAGGTATTAAATTACAGAATATTCATCATATAAACAGGCATTATTTAAAAATACCCCGTCCACAATATGTCCAACATCGTCAAGACACGGACTCCATGTTCTTGTGATTTTTTGCATGTGAATTACACGTCCACAAAACTAAAAAGTAAATACTTACATGTCCCACTTTTCTTTCCCTGAAATGAAATCAGAAAAGCGTGACAATTACTAAGCTGTGATGATGCATCATGGCCGTCTCTGCCGTCCGGCGTCAGGGCCAAGGGTCACCCGGAGGCCTCTGCCTGGGCCCTTTCTGAGGCCCAGGTGCTCTCCTTTCCTATCCTTCTCCAGGGCTTGTTTGACAGTCTTATTCCTCCGTGTTTCTGCATCCTCACCAGCCCTGTCACTCTGCGTTCCTTGGCTCTTTGCTCTTCCTCTCCTAGGACCTGTAGCCCTTCTCAAAATGGTGACCCCAAGACTAGGTAGGGCACATGCAGCCCCATCGCAGTGCCAGGACACGTTTGGTACGTTTGACTGGACTCTGATAGCTTCAGGGTGGGCACGGACAAGGGAGCTGTGAGACAGGATGCAGCTGTGGAATTTGGGGTTGCGGCAATTGGGGGTGGGGAACAAAGCTGCAACTCCAACCTTGACCACGAGGGCCAGAAGTTAGGAGCCAGCCTTAGCCTCTGTCTTCACCCAAGAGGGTCGCAGCCCAGCCCCACTGCCCAGGACCGTCCTGCTGATTCCTGCTGACCTGCCCTCAGGATTCATAACCCTTTCACTGCAAAGTATCCTAACAGGGAAGATAAGTTACAGTCCTTCTGGTTACAGGAGGAGCAAGATCCAGGTGGAAATGCATGTGTATTAATATCCACCAAGCTCCAACATGCTTCCTGCCATTATTTTTTGTAGACAACGGCTCTGTAAGAATACCTTTCCTTTGGCCGAAGTTCTAGAACTTGGTAAACCTGGCTACAGATTTAAAGTTTCAGAAGTAGATAAATCAGAAGCAGACTCCAATCCTTCAAAGCTGACCTGTGCAAGAGGCATAGAACGAGCCTTGAGCTATGGGGGTGTCTACACTTTCCATATCTGGGGTGGGAGAGGGGTGGGTAGGACGATCACACTGCCCAGCTGCAGGAGGCGCTATCTGCATCCCACAGCTGTGCATGGCACCCCTGCAATCCACCCAGGACATCACCCACATTTCTCCTGCACCCCAGCAGTCACTTCCCTAAGTCCTCCAGGCCCACCATGTCAGGGTCAAAGCTCTGTGGTTACAGAGCCGCACCCCCGCCGACCCGGCCAGTACCTTAGATATTCTGGCAGGTGCAGTTTGTCGGTCTTGGTGACCACCAGGGCCACGTCGCTGCAGAAACCCCGTTGGCAGGCCTTGATGCTCTCATGAAGAAGGCCTTCGTGGGCTCTTCCCCCGGAAACTCTCTCTATGTCGCTGACCACCCAGATCACTGAGCATTTGTCAATGGTCTGCGAAACATGACCACAGGGTGTCTAAGAACACAAAGGGCACCTCGGCGTAGAGGGCAGGACTCCTTCACGTACCCCTGGTCTCCCGTGCCCTGCCAGCCCCGTCCCTCACCACTCCCCACAGCACCCTCCATGCACCCACCACACTGAGCTACTTGCAGACTCTCAGACTCTACAACCTCTGCTTGATCTCACTTGCCCTTCAAGATTCTGTTAAAAGCGGGATGAGTTGACCATCCCTCCTTTGCACCCTGCAGCATCTGGACTCACCCGTCAGAGCATCTCTCACTCAATTACCACATGGGGTCAGTCCTCTTACCCCAGCCCCCACCCCAGATTGTGAGGTACTTGATGGGGAGGGGTTGTACCTTTCAGCTTGGAATCCACATCACCCCAAGCATAGCTTTTGGCCCACAGTAGAGGCTTCATAGATGTTTGTGGCATTCGTGATTGATAGAATTCACGAAACCCAGACCTCTAGTCCCAAAGCCACCACTGGCTTGTTTTACCTCAGTTGTCCTTTAGGGAAAATTATTGTTTCTCCCAAACTAGTTCTGGTGGTGCATCTACCGCAAAGCTATCACCACAGAGCATCACATTCATGTTTGTCTACCCCAGAATGTTCAGCACGCTGCCACCAAGTGGCAGCAGGGAGTCAGAGACCATGATTCAAGTTGCAAAGTTCAATGAACATGAAATTACAACTTATTATTGATAGCATAAATATTGCTTTCACTAATATGCAACTTTCATGTGACAAATGATGTGTTGCCTTATGACATTTCTCTTTTTTTCACTCGTCTCTCTCCACATAAGTGAAAAGCTGGTCTAAGTCAGGGATTGAGTTTATTTGTGGTTCCTTGGAACAATGCTTTACACATAAGGATGTGAGAAATTTGTGCCTTGCTGGTTATATCATTGGGTTGATGCTAACAGCCCAAGACTGTAAATGTACTTCTGCATCGCTATGATTTGCTTAGTAACATTTTTTCTCTATCTTATTGTAAGAATATAGTATATAACACATATAACATGCAAAATATGTGTTCGTCAACTTTTATGTTATTGGTAAGTCTTCTGGTCAATTATTAATAGCAGGCTATCCGTAATTAAGTTCGGGGGTGCCTCTAACCCTGGCATTTGTTCAAAGGTCAACTTTACTTTTTTTGCTTTATACCAATGATGATGAATGAGTGGTGATTTTGTACCCTAGGGGACATTAAGCAACATCTGGAGACATTTTCAGTGTTACAACATACGAGGAATGGCCAGGGATGTTGCTAATGATCTGGCCCCAGATGATGGCAGTGCTGAGGCTGAGGAACCCCGGCCCTCTCAGAGGGCATCAAACTTGTCTCCAGCAGTGGGTCTTTTTCAAATGAAATCTTAGGAAGCATTCCAATGGACAAGCTTGCCCTTTAAAGCTGAAATGCTCATGTTGAATGAGGAGGGGTAGAGGTTTGGAGGCCCCGACTGCTCAGCACCCCCACACTCTGCCCAGCGTCTCTTGGCTTCGTGGAGCCTTGGTGCTTGCTAGCTGGTTTCCCTGCTCTGCCCAATCTTGACCTCCCTCGCCCAGTCTGTCCTGTTTCCTTTGCTGCTGCTCCTCACACATCAAGCTCTTGTTCCTCCTACCAGAGCTGCTTCTCAAGTCCTCCTTCCCCAGCCTCTTCCTCACTGCCCTGAGGCTCAGGACATCAAAGGCAGAAGAATCTAATGCCAATAAACTCATAAAATCCCTTCAATGACAACAGAGCATTCTTTGCTGCTGAGGAGGGGGCAGAGGCCTTGAGGGAGCAGACAAGGGGTCTTAAGAGAGAGAATCACCTTTTTCCACATCTCATCCCTCTTGCTGTTGAAGTCGCCTGTGCCCGGGATGTCCACCAGCACAACCCCTTCTGGGATCAGCTCTGACTTGGGAAGCGTCACTTCCACGTATTTGATCAAGGGCCAGATCTGTGTCTCGGTGGCTCTCCCCTCCCAGCCTCTCCTCTGAGTCTGGATGTAGGGGTCCAGCTTGAGTGACAGCTCTCCTGCCTGGGGAGGGAGGAGAGGTCACACCCCCAGCCCTTCTCCCACCGCATCAAAGATGTCCTGGGTGACGGCAGGAAGCGGTGTGGGCAGCAGCCCGCGGTTCAGTCCGCGCTGACCTAGAAAAGAACTTAACTAACCCAAGAAGAAACAGTCAGTTAGCCGGGTCTCGGGACGCCACAGCTGCACCGGACACTCATTCCATCTTGCAAATTTGCTTTCAGCTCTAAAGGGATGTGTTCTAGAAGGATGCAACTTTCTAAGCGTGGGGGACAGGTCATTCTTCCTGTTTTGTTTGTGTAAACAGTTTGATTACCAGAAAGTCCCGACGATAGAAAATTGAGGGTGGTGTGGTGACTGTGCTTTCCAGATTAAAATTGAATCCAATAGCAAGCCTTCGTTTTTTAAAATCTGCCTTCTAAGTACGAAATATATCACGACCAATAAGTATTTCAGGGTGCTTTAATGAGGACGGGAGGATGGAAATCATTCTCAGCTTGTTCCTCCCAAAGCATTTCTGGGGACGGGGCCGCATTCACGCCAGCAGCTGCGCGGGGCAGCGAATCTGTCCCAGACACGCAGGGGACAGACAGCGGCTGACGTGTGGCGTCACTGTGGGCCAGGAGCATGTCAAGGGTGTTTGTGGGAAAAATCCTACTTCCCAGGGAAAGGGAGATGTGTTGGTGGCCCTTTTGAATCTACTTTTTGCTTTCGTGGTGCGAGCCGTCTAGCCGCTCAGAGGCAACGCGCGTGGGAGACCCAGGTCCACGGGCAGAAGCTGGTCTTCACGTGGCTGGGCCCCCCGCCGGCCCACCCATCTAACCGCCTCCTGACTTCTTACTGAGAAAGTGAACACAGGGGGGCTTGTTCAAGCCATGTAAGTTGTGTGTTTTTTCCCATGTGCAACCAAAATAATCCTGATTATCCTCAAGAAACTATAACTCCTCTTTCCTGTGCGCAGAAGCTCCCCCATTCCGACGTGGAAAACTCCCATGTGGGAGTCATAAGTGGCAAAAGCTAGCGTGGCCGTGGCCACTTCGGAACTGGGGCAGCTCCTTCTAGTCAATAAAGACGCTGTCCCTCGAGCAAGCCCCTGAGTGGACTCAATTGTCTGTGCTTGGTAAAACAAAGGACTGAAGTCACCTCATCGGCCTTGAGGGTGATGACCCTGCTGGCGGGGATCCTCCCTTTGGGCTTCGCCCGCAGCAGCTCCTCGTAGCTCCTCCTCTCTGCCCCGGGCCCATACAGCACCCGCAGCTTCCAGAGCGCGTCCTCCGCCGCCTCGTCCCTGCCCCACGCCGCCTCCTCTCCGCCCAGCTCCTCCGGCCCGTGCAGGAATTGAGTCAGGTTCCTCAGCTCCTCCTTCCACTCCTGCCAAGGCAGAGCAGGACACAGGTATGGAAACAGGATGGCGGCGGAGCCACTGTCCCTGCGGGGAGGTGGGGGGTCGTGGGGGGCTCCGGAATCAGGACATCAGATCATCAAATCCACCCCCACCCCTTGCTTCCTCGGAGGAAACAGGAGCCCACAGCAGGACGGGCTTGCCCCAAGGCCTCAGGCAGCGCCCCCACTGGTTCTCCTGAGCTCTCTCCTCCCCGTGCTTTCCATCCAAGGAAGGTGGGGGCTGTGTCTACAGGAACACAAGCCCCAGCTCCAGGAGAGAGGGAGACAGAAAGAAAGAGAGGGCAGGAGAAAGCAGAGGAGGGAGGGAGGGAAACAGGCAGAGAAGGGGCTGGAGGGAGGGATGGACGGGCCACGCTCACCTGCTCGGAGAGAAGGTGGATTTTGGCCTCGTACTGCTCACAGCAGCCCGAGCTCACTTGCACGATGCACGAGGTGCAGACGCTCTCTCCGGACACCGGCAGGAACATTTCTTGCTGGATGATGGCGTTGATCAGGGAGCTCTTCCCAGCCCCGCTGCTCCCAAACAGGCCGATGTAGATTGGGTCCAGCGACGGCTTTTCAGTCAAGGCGAGGAGCCTGTTTCTAGATCAGGTTTTAAATACACGCCCCCGGTGACACAACTGCCTGGTGACACCTCAGGTGGTGTCCCTGAGGTGGGCGACATAGTCACCCCAGGGGAGAGGAGGGGGCGAGAGGTCAAGGGAGCTGGGGACTCACATGAGGTACTTGACACCGTTCGGGATGCTGTCGTCCAGGAAGACGGACTGGAGGAGTTTCTGGTAAGTGCTGCTCAAAACCCTCCTGGTCCGGGACTCCAGCTTTTCATCTGAAATCAAGAGAGAGGAGGGACCTGCCAGGGGCAGGCGCGATGCCGCCACAGCAGGGCCTGCCTGCCACTGCGGAGAGGAGAGAGGAATGAACTAGAAAGCCCATTAAGTCAAATAGCAACTTCTCTGACACTACAGATAACAAAGCCGGTGCTCTGCCAGGAGCTTTAGCCTTTCTAGAGTCTTCTCTCTTATGGCCATAAAGGGGAAAAGTGCAACACGTCACAGAAACATCCACTTCAACCATCCACGGCCAACCGTCTTCATGGTCTTTGCTTTGAGCAGAAAGAGCTTGTTTTGATAACAACCCTGAGATCCAGAGACTCCGGGAGAGACATCACCATCTCCACAGAGGCCACAAGACCTTGCTCTCTGTCCACCCCGCTCCTGAATTAACCTCCTCTGCCTTTGGGCATTTTAACACATTTGGAAACGAACAGAGCCTGGTACAGCAGACCATGTCCGTTCCTCGACCCTCACACTGTTCCTCCTTCGTGGGCACACTGATATTTCATTTTGATGTTGTACGATCTCAAGTAAAGAGTAACAAAGGAAGAAGAACTGTTAAAATATCAGTTCAGATAAAATTCACCCTCGTGGTCATAGCAGCTGGCGAGGATGAAGAAGCTCGCAGCTCACCCTCCGGAAAATGATTCTGGATTTTTCGTGTGGGGTTCTCACAACCAAGATCACAGAGGCACCCTGAGTATTTTCTGGTATATCTCTTAAATACGAAGGGAAATACTTGATTGCTTAAAATGGCATGGTTTTTAATAAATGTAATCTTACGATAATATGATATGATTCCCCTACCAGAATATGTTGTTTGTTTGTTTGTTTGTTTGTTTGTTTGTTTAGTTTTGGGGGCTTTTCTTTTTTTCTTGCTACAAACAGAGGACATGTCACCCAGCTAACTATAATTGTTCATTCATTTATAAACTCACTCATTTAAAACCCTGTCCAGGGCGTGGGGTTTAGTAGGGGAGCCTGTTTTTATTGGGGGATGGGGACACTCACACTCCTTCAGGGCGCTTTGCTCGGCAGAAGGAAATGCCCGGAACCGCTGGTCTCGGTCTGATCGCCTCCTCTTTTTCGTTGGTTCTTTAATCCCATCGCTGTCAACTGAGATAAACAGGGGTTACACGAAGTGAAGGGCGCTGGGTGTGGTGTGTTTGCTGGCGCCCGCCCCTTCCAGCCGCAGGCGCCAGGCCGGCCCCGGTCCCAGCAGCCCAGGGCTTCCCCACGTCTAGCTCCAGCGCAGGCCCACCCTGTCCCCAGAAGAGAAGTTCCGTCTGGAAATCCTCAGAGGCCAACGTGGTGCAATAGTCTCCACCAAATGCCAGATTTCAGGAAAGCAAACCACCAGGGAGGGAGAAGCCCACGTGGGGGCGAGACAGGCTCAAACTGGGCAAGAGTCACCCGCTGCGGAAAGCAGAGGCCAGAAGGGCGAGACCCGGGCAAGGCTCTCCCTCTCCTTGGGCCTCAGTTTCCCCACCTGAAAGCAAGAAGAGTGACAAAAATAGCAGTAACACAAGAGTTTGGGAGTGTGGGCGCCAGCGCTCCCTCCAGAGGCTAAAATGAAGGGAATTTGCAGGGTCCCTTGCATGGGCAAGAGTAGACATCTCCCAGGATGGGTCTTCACTGCTCGGGGGCTTCATTCACTGTCAGCGATTTCCTTCGGGGTGAAGGGAGGGCCTGTGAGGCCCATCACCTGCAGGGAAGTTTCAGGAAACTCTGCTGGTGGGTGTACTTCACTGTCAGAAAGGGGGGCTGAGCTGCGTCTTTGGGGGCCAGTAGCTCCCGGGGCCGGTGTGTGCCTGAGGAAATAGATGTGGGGTGACTGGGAGACTGATCCCCAAGGGTGTGACCCTCCAAGTTGCTCTCAGAGCATCTTCCCTGAGACCCACAGAGAAGGAGCGTCACTCCCGGACCCAGCAGAAGACCGAGCTCCACTGTGGGGCTCAGGTGTGGGCTCCCCACCTGGCCCAGGTGCCCCGCCCTGTCCTTCCTTTGTCTTTAACCTGCCCTTCTGCTGCCAGCTCCTGTCCTATGGGTGCCGTGGGGCAGAGACAGGTGGTGTGTGAACCCTGGATCTCTGCCACCTCAGGCCGGGCTGAAAAGGAACCACCAAGGAAAGAAATCTTTCCTGCTAAAGGGTCGTAGCCTGGTGCAGTAAATAATCCAATGCAATTGAAAATAACAACTTTGCTTACTTGATAAACCTTTCCTTAGAGAGCTTTCCATTGAAGTTTTAGCTTATCTAAACGAGGTTACATTTTAACAAGGTCGGACAGCCGGCCAAGTTGACTTATCTCTCGAAGACCATCCCTGAATGTCCATCTTTCCCGCTTTGTCTGGGACTTTTACGGCAAATAGTGGTGCTTGCTAACCCATGTTATCAGTGTCAGACGGTTGTGTATAAAAGAAGCCCTCTGTCTCTACACGGGTGCTCAGACCTGACGGGACGGCCCGGGCCTGAGACCTCACCCATGAGTAATACAGCGTCTCCTGACCTCGCCATTCCTGAAGTACCGCTTGTTCTTCCCTTTCCTGGGTAAAACGCTAGAATTTATTTCTGCCACAGGGCCATGGGGAGCTCCTACGTGAGCCCCTTCTTTCTCAGATGTTCCGACGTCACGACTGCGCTCTGGCTCCATGTGGGCGGCACCAGACACAGTGCCCAGCGGCTCTGGCCCCTCGCTGGAGCTGGCGAGGAGGGGCCAGGAGGACAGAAGATGTGCTGGGCCTGGCCTGGGCAGCCCAGGCGGGAGAACACCTGAGGCTCTGCTACCGAGGGGTCTCGGCGTCCCAGAGTGTTCCCACAACTGCCTGTGAAAGGGTGTGCGGCCTTGCTCTGGGCTTGGTACAGCAGGAGCTCTGTGATGTGAATAACGTCGGCTAGTGCCACAGCCGCCTAAAAGTGAGGGGGAGGCCTGCAGTCCCCGCCCTGGTTTCAGCTTTGTAGGGACTGACAGTCCGTCTGATAAATGAGGGAAATTTATTTCTTAACTCAAGGTGAAGAAGTCAGATAAAACAGCTGGGCGTTAACTTTTTCTTCAATTTCTAAAATGAAAAACCTCTTGGGAAGGTGAAAGTATTCCATCTTGGATTTCTGCCATTTAAGGATTTTATGTCGAATTATAACTGGAGTGAACCGGCCTGAGCTTGGACCCCGTGGCGTGTTATTCCCTGTCATTGCTCAATCATGCCCTTGCCTTTTCCAGCATTTTCCACTGAATTAGCCTGGGAAAGCGCAGGGGCCAAAACGGCCCCTCAGCCCGCGCCTGGTGCTGCTTCTTGCTGCCACCAGGTGTCACTGGTGAGAAAGCCCCGACGGCCCCATGTGGGGTCCAGGCTGGCGGTCGAGCCAGGCCTTTGTGGGACCAGCGTTGGCCAAGCCAAACACTCAGCCACTCTTGGGGCCAAGGTGAAGGTAGGGTGCCCCGAGTGGCAGTCCCAGCCCTGTCTGAGGTGCTGGTCCCTCCCTGGCTGACCGGGGACCACTGCTTTCAGTGCCCCAACGGGAACTCGTCCCTGGGATAGAGGACATTTCTCCTCCTCCGCTCTCAAAGCGTGAGGATGTGACAGCCCCCATTTTGCATGTGGGGGTCACTTCCACCCTCATTAGGAAACGCTTGGTCCTGGGATCCAGAGCACAACACACAACCTTAGGGGGAGCATGACCCCCTCAAGACCCAACTTGCTCCCCTTCTACGGAAAGCACCAGAAACGTGTGGGGGGCTTAGCTCATCCATTCTAAGAGAGGCTACCCTCAGAACATCCCAGATGGTTTTCTGGAAACTTCTTTAAGGAAGGAAGTGGGGGCCCTCATTTAATTGCCAGACAGCCCACTACCTCTATGGATGGGAGATTTTACTTGTGGTTCAAACCATTTACACTTGCAAGGGAAACACGCCATGAGTAGCAGCTTCTGAAATAAGAGCAAGCAGCCACGGCCAGTCAGCCTCAGCCCGGGTGCCCTTGACGGTAGGACAGCAGCTCCTATCCGCTCCTTCCAGGGAGGGAAGGGGGTTACCTGGGTGTAGCTCCTGCCCCGCAAAGTCCTCGGGCTCTGCCATTTCCTGTTAGGGAATTGCCCGCGTTTGTCCACTCAGAAGAACCGGCCTGAAAATACACATGGGTGTCAGGGGCAGCAGAAATTGTCCACGCAAAAGAAAAAAAAAAAACACGTGACGGTGCTTGTGCTCTGCCCCCCAACTAGAAGCCAAGGCCCTCGGGGCAGGCTGGGCGGCTCTAATTCCTCTTTGTCCCTACACCACTGTGATTTAAATATGACAAAGATCCATGAATGACCACTGCTTTATTTGTACTAGTTGCATCTGTAGAGATTTAAACTGAGGTCTTTAAGGCAAGTCCCTCTGAAATAAGAATAAACCTCTAGCGGCCACAGTGGTGAAGGTGAGGTTACATAGCCTTTGGGCCTGAGGAGACACCTGTCCCTGCCACGAGTGCCCTGCGTCAGTGAGATGCAGCCCCAGCAGGGCCTCAGCAAGAGTCTGGGAGATGAGTGAGACATTTGACATTCCTGGGGGTCCTCTGGAGTTGTTTAGGGAAGGAGAGAAGCCATAAGTAGGTTCTCTGGACCGTCCTCGCCACCTAACCCTTCACCTCAACCAGACCCTCCCCCCCATGAAGGGCTCTGTGCAACCTGATGGTGGGGGGAGCTCTCAATCCAATTCCAGCCTGCTGGCAGGCAGGGACGGGGCACAGAGGAAGAACAGAGCCCTGTGGGGCCACAGGGCTCAGGACAGAGGGCACAGAACAGACCAGCCGGCCCCATATTCTCCCCAACTTCCTTTCTCCGGGCAGACCAGAGTCTGAACAACACGAGCAGAGGCACCCGAGGTGCTTACTTTCGTATCCCATGTTTCTGTTTGGGTCACTCTGCTGTGTATTTCAAAATCGTAGCATCTCCGGTTCTTCTGAAATATGCAAAGTCCCACCTGACCTGTCAGTTAGGGAGGCTGGGCCTCATTTACATCTTAACCCCAAATGGAAATCACAGCTCACCCGTCGGAACAGCCTCTCACGTTGGTTTGGCTGGTGGATATTAACCGACTAAACGGTTTCCGTGTTTGCAGGGTGTTGGTGGATGTGGTGTGAGCCCCTACTAGGCCCAAAGTCCTGAGCCGGCAGTCGGGGTCCTCATCTCTCTGTTCTTTTGCTTTCGAGCCCCCCTCTCAGCCCATCCCAAGCTATTTACAGTGCTCAAGGCAGGGTTTGCAGTTGAATTTCATGCATTTTAGCACATGCCGTTCCTTCTGGGAGGGGGCCCTCCCCTCTTCCTGGTGAATCTCTACTCTTTCTTTGAGACTCTCTTCTAGCATTTTCCCTTTGAAGCTCTCCTTACTCCCCATCACTACCCGCTGCTGTTCCTGTAGTCACTGCTCCCAGCACCCCTGCAGTGTAATGCTTCCTTGGCTGAAGCTAAGCTCCCTCTTCCTCGAGGTCAGGGAGGTCAGGGGCTGCATTTGTTTCATGGTTGTGTCTCTGTCATGAATGCAATGACGGACAGTAATTGCTGAATGAATGAATGGGCACGGTGATTCATGGGAATCAAATCACAGAGGGCAGAGGGGACAAAGCAAGCAGTGCTCTGACCAGCGGGCAGATCCGAGGGACCTCCGAGACACCCTACGTTCTGGCAGACAAAGACCGGGAAGAAATAGAGGAGCCGATGAACCCCAAACAAGTACCAGGCCCAGCGGACAAGAGTTGTTGCCCTATGAACACTAGGACTCAGGCCCTTCCGTCCGAGAGGGAAGCGGATGATAGCAAGAATTCAGCGAGAAGCAGGGGTGTTCACCAGATTCTGGAATGCGGGCAGAGCTCTGGGCTTCCTTCGGGGTCCCGGGAACTTGGGTTCATTTCTGACTTCATCAGTAAATCAACGGTAGCGACCGGCCGGGGCTGTTACAGCTCTCCAGGGCGGACGCTCTTGATCCAGCAGGGACACCAAAGCCTGTGCCCCCCCACCCCTGCCAACCTCTGGCACCAGCACAGGAGCAGTTGGGACTCAGCCGAAACACGGAGCAACTGGAAATCTGAGACGAGTGTTGGTGAATTCAGCTTCTTTCAGTTCCCAGACTGTCAGGGAGGGATCATTTGACAAACTAAATACTGGGAAAAGGAGACTGATTTACAAAAACGCTGGGGAGGTAGGATGAAGTAAACACTAAGCACTTAAAGAAGAAAACTTATTTTAAAAATTCTCAGTTAATGGAGGAGGTGGGTGATACGCTGCAGACACGCAGTCCATGGCCACTGGCTCCAACGAGATGATGCCGTGGGCCTGGCTGGCACTGGGCCGCTTATCCAGCGTAGAAGCTTCCAGCTTTGGAGCCTCCAATCGAAGGAGCTGGGGGACTCAGGTGAGACCTTCGTCACCCTGGGCTTTAGTTTTCCCTCCTATAAACAGAAAATGGAACTGGCCCTGAAGGGCAGGTGTTCTAGGATTCGTTGGAGGCTAAAGGAATGAAAGTTCTCATTTTGAAATGTCACCTGTCATGGAAACCAAGACTGAGCCAGGGTCCGGGGCTCCTGAGTGATCAAACCAACACAACTGAGACTAATGTGATCTCAGGTTCCTTTTGCTTTAAGGATTAAAGACCCTGGTGCAGAGCCCGTCCTCAAATTATGTGGGGGTCTACTTTCCCCCCAAGGGAAGCAGTAGCGATGGGGGTACACTATGTGAGAGTTTGCTTTCTGTGCAGAAACAATGACCAATGGTCCAAATTCACCGCTCACACAGGCAAGGCTTTCAAGTGTGGTTTATTTCACCTGAGTTTCAGCTATGCGGTTAGCACTTGAGTTTCGCTTTTAGTACTTATTTACATTCATGCAGGCTGAGCCTAAGAATAGCATCTTTTAAATGAGACTGCATATTTAGCTAGCTATAGGGAGGTTGCACGTAACGGGTTTCCTGTTAAATAATTGTGACTTTTGACCGTTATTCTCCACTCTCCCTTTCTTGTGTGTTTGCTTCTTGTCTTTTTTCCTTAAAATAAATTTTTAAGATTTATTTATTTATGCATACAAGAACTAGGGTACAGGCCAGAGATGTGGGGGGTGAGAGGATTCACCAGAGACAGAATGGGGAGCAGGACAGGCAGATGACTGAAAGACACTGCTGAGGGGAGCAGCGGGAGACAGGAGAGGTCTGCTGTGCCATATGTGGGTCAGCTCCCTGGCCAGCTGGGGATTGAACTCAAGCTGCAGCAGCTGCGGACAGCTTCACAGTGCTGTGTTTAACCCCTTGCGCCCCTAGGGAGGCCATTGTCTTTTTTTTTTTTTTTTAAGGAAAATAAGAGGTGACACATATGGAATAATCATTGTTATGCTAGAGCAGCTTCACAGCATGGAATTACATCTAGAATGTTCTCAAACTCCTTTATAGACATGGACACTGAGCCCCATGGGAGGAACTTGACCAAGGTCAGGTAGTGACTCCAGGCTCAGGGTCCTCTTCCTTCCACCAGGAAGCCTCTAGCAGGTATGTTTAAGCCAATTCACTGGAGCATATGGGTAGAAGGATGGAGGGAGAAGGGCCTACAAATGAGGGGCTCCCTCAGATACATGAAGAAAGCACTTGGCAATGAACCCTACTGAGGAAGAAAGAGTAGCAACTTGATCAAGGTGTGCATAGGGACTGGTGCTGAAGCTGCTGCCGGTGTCTGCTACAACGGTCTGTGTCTGCTGCGGAGCTGAATGTGGTTATTGAGAACAACAAACCTGCCCTGGCCCAGCTTTCTCCGTTAGTGAGACTCTCACCTCTCCCACTTTACCTCACACCTTCAACCCTTGTTTTTTGTTTATTTCTGCACCCCTCCTTCCCCAAAAGCAAACCTAAAATTTTAAATGCTTAAATGAGTGAAATTCCTTTCAGGGGCATTTTGATCCTTAATTTTGACTAATTTTTCACCCCTGGATAAATGGGGTACAGTGTTAGGTACACACGAACGCTGAATAAATATTTGTTGAATGAATGAAGTGTGTTATAAATATATCCTGATGGTAAGATTCATAATGCCAGGAATTATATTCACTCATTCATTCATTCCACAAGTATTTGTTGAGTGTCTCCTCCCAACGCGTGCCTGGCAGTCTTCTAGGTGCTGGGGAGGCATCGGGGAACAGGGTGCACTCGCTGTATAAAAAGCTCTGAGAAGCAGTAGATGAATACAGCCAAGTGGCAGGTTACAAAATCAACATACAAAAATCCACAGCTTTTTTATATACAACCAACAAATAAGCAGCTAATGAAATCAAGACAATAACTTCACTTATAATGGCTTTAAAGTAAGTGCCTCAGAATGAATCCCAGGAGGTGAGGGACCTGTGAATGAGAACCAAGAGCCGTTGCTAAGGGACTTAGTAGTAGTGACCTAGGAGACTGTCCAAGCTCAGGGTGGGGAGTCACTGGACTCTAAATGGCCACCCTACCCAAAACAATGCAGAATTTTAATGCAATCTCATCAAAATGCCAGCAATATCTTTCAAAGAAATTGAACCAAAAAAACTGAAGTTTATATGGACCCACAAAACCCCTTGAACAGCAAAATCAATATTGGGAAAAAGGAGAAAAACAGAGGGAGTTTGCAGGAATTATGTAGGGAATTATGTAGGCAGTAGGGAAAACAAATCAGAAAAAGCCAGTGGACAATGATAAATACCACAAGTTCTGATATTAGGGCCTGGGGAGACCAGGACAAGGAGATATGGGGTGGGGAAGTTTTTTTTTTAATTGAAAAAATTGCTCATTCAATCTTATAACAGAGCTCAGGGCGATCACTCCAAGGCTGCATGGCAGAGATGCGGGTGGCTGACCCAGGCATGGGCGGGGAGGTGGCAAGAAGGAGGCTTACCCAGGATGCTTGCTGTCGGGTTGGTGGGCATGAAAAAGGGGTAGGCATGATGCTAAAATTATCAGTTTGATCAGCATTATGAGGATTTGACATTTATTAGCCTGTAGGAAGGAAGAGCAGGGGACTGTGAGGGAAGGGTGTTAAGAGTCAATTTGGGGCAAGTAAAAAAATCTGGGTGAATTCAGAGTCATTCA